CAGCCCCTCCTCATCGCACCGCACGGGCGCTCACCGGCAGCGCAGCCACGGCTCTGACGTGCACCTGACCCCTTCTGTACTTCCTTGCAGAGCTCGGCAGGGCAGCGGCTCTCCTTAAGGTCCGACCCAGCCCTGTGGTGGGCTTGAGCTGCTGTCGTGGTGCTGCAGAACAACCCTGGGGTCTCCTAGCTGCGTGTTAACTGCTGCAGCCAAGGCTTGATTTTCAGGTGAGAATGGAGCGTGTCTGTGTATTGCAAGAGAACTAAGAGGGTAAGGGCTGATGCTCTGTTCACCCTTCTTTTTTTATACTTTTTTTTTTTCTTTTAAATAGTCAAGTCTGTGAGAGGCTGGAAGCACGCCAGCCAGCCAGCCTGCTTGGGATACAAATTCCTACCCAAGGTCCCTCCAGGCGTGTGTTAAAGCAAAACAAATACCTGGTGTGTGGTTTGTTTTCTCTTTCTCTTCTGCCCAGGCAAGAGGATTGTACAGGCAATAGTTATTTTAGGAGGATTCAGGACACTTATGTCTGCGGCTCTGTGGTCTGCTAGTTGCTTCTTGCAAGAGACTTCTGTAGGACTGCAACAGGGAGGAATGTGTGCACGTTACTGCCAGTCTCTGCTGGAAACAGAGGTGTTGGTATTGGAACAGCCCTGCATTTTCTCCTTGCTGACTTCCCAGTCTTAAGCTCTTTAGGAAGTCAGCTCTCACTGAGCTTTTCCATGGAGTTATAGAAGTGAGAAATGTGTTGCATTTAAAAGTGGCACCTGAGGTTCTTGCCTGGCTGTGTGACCTTGAGAACTGAAACTTTAAGGAGTGGAGAAAAGAAAAAGAAGCAGACATTTTGGGGCATGCGGGGGAGTTGGGAGAGCTGATGGTGGAGCACATGGTGCAGTTTTGAGAGCAGCCCCGTGGGAGCTGGTTCTAACTGGGAGCAGCAGGTCTGAGGCAGACAGGCAGGCAGCCTCTCCTTGCAGCTGGGGCTGCTGTGCTGGGCCTGCTGCCCTGTGGCCCTGGCTGGCAGGCAGGCAGGCACCCCTGCATATTTGCAGGGTACAAGCTCTCCTGCGGACGGCACTCTTCCCAGGGCCCCCTCTAAGTTGTCCTTCTCATCCTCTGGTTTCTTGTGAGATGCCAGCATTTCCTTTGACTTGGTCCCAGGAGACTCTGGGTGAGCTCATCGGATGGAGATGTGATTTGTCATCGTGCTGGGGAAGCAGCTTGCCCTCCTCTCCTCCTGGGATACTGGGCCGGGTGCTTTGCAGTGCCTTTCATGCTGTCATCTTGTTTCAGGCCAGCCAAGATGCTGCTGTAGATGACTGACTCACTCGTGCCTCATGTTGTGGCTCTACATGGCCTCTGCGGGACCACAACACGCTAATCTGGGCCCCAAACAGGAGAAGAGCATCAGGCTTGAGCCAGGCACCCTTCCAGCAGGGAGAGCTCTGCTGCGCCGGGCCTGGCACCTCACTCAGCAGCAGGCAAAACCCATCTGGAATTTAGAGAAGAAATACGTGAGTGCTTTCCAGGATTGCAGCCTGCTGCCCTCAGGGATCCCTCTGCAGCAGCCCTGCTTCTTGTGCCCGCCGTCACTATGCCACACGCACCCCAGTGAGGACGACCTTCCGAGCCTGCCCTTGGCCCGGCCCTGCCTGGGCCTGAGCAGGAGTGCTCTGCGCTACCCAGGCTCCTGCCTCCGAGCCAGGCCCTGCGGGTTTCCTTTCCAAAGCCCTCTGGACACTGGCTCTGCCACAGGAAGAGAGATATCTGCCTTGCTGATGGAGCCCTGCCTGCTGCCTGCGCTGGTGGAGGAGCACTCTGGGGCTGGGGTCAAAGGCTCTGCCCTCAGCTCTGGTCGGCAGGCTTCCAGCCCCTACAGACCGGTGCTCAATAACAGCCCCTTCCTACAGCCATGCAGTGCTAAAGTGCCTTCGCTGCAGTCACTGGAGATCAAGAAAAACACCCACAGATTCTCCCCTGCCTCGTGGTCCCACTCTGGGGACAATGGAGATGGCTCCAGAGCAGCGAAAAGCAGCGACCTCGTGTTGGAGCGAGCCACAGTCCCCTTGCCGACCCTGTTGCCCAGCAGCGTGATCCTCGGGAAGGAGGGGTGCTCGCCAGAGGGTGCTGAGGGGAGAGTGCGCAGCCTGAGAGAGCAGGAGCCGGAGCTCGGCCTCGCAGAGGCCATGCAGCAGCTGGACAGCTCTGCACGTGGCGCCGAAAGCTCCAGCCTCACGAATGTGGGCAGCCTGTCGGAGCGGCACAGCAGGCGGGGGCAGCACGTCGTGGCACAGCTCACCCCGAGAGGAACCAGGGCTCCTCTGAACCCGGAGCTGGGTCATCGTCACCTTAACGGCAGCTCGAGCCGCGTGGGCGCCGGTGACGCCGCCGTCCACGCGAAGCACCTCGCTGCCGTCTCAGAAGTGACAACTCGGATGTCCGCTCTCCAGCTGGAGAAAGGGGCCCAGGCTGTGCTCCCAGGAAAGCTCGAGTAAGTGGAGCCAGGAGGAGGATGGAGGCCGTGGCAGGATGGGGTGGCTGTTGCATCTGTGCGTGTTGGGAGAGGACGCACTGTGGGCGCTGTGGGAGTGGCCGTAGGAATAACCATGGGCTGTGTCCCTCAGCAAACCCATCTGTGGCATGCTGGCACAAGGGGAGCCTTCCTGCTACCCCCAGCCACTTGGGGTGGCTCAGAGCCCTTCCACCTTCTCCTTCAGCCACAGCGTGGAGTTGCTGTGTGGCATTTCTAGCTCATTCCCCACACAGTCATGGGGCCCTGCCTGCTGTGGCAGACTCTGCACGTATGTTGAGTGAAACCTGCTGTTGAGGCAGGTCCAGCAAGGCTTTCCTGGGCAGCAGCATGGGTTCCTAAAAGAATGCAGAGCTGAGGTAGGACAGGGAGGGCATGAGGACATGGAGCTCCTGCTCTCTGGCTGGGAAAGTGTCCTTGTGCCTCTTTCTTTCTACCTGCTCTGGAAAATGTTCCTTTTAGGGTGCACTGGGGCCTCTCCACCTTGCCAGCTTGGGATGAGTGCTTGTACATCAGCAGCAGGGAGGGCAGTGCTGTCACTCGCTTGTCCATGTTATCTCATGCTGCCTTGTGGACTTCTGAGTGTTTTGGCCCCAAAAAGCATATGCCAGTCCTTCTGATGTGATATCCTTTGTCCCAGCATCACTGCTGAGCAGGCACTACTGGAGCCAAGCCATCCCCAGGATGAAGCAGAGGAAGAACTTCTTGATGGCCTGGATGAGAGCTGCAGTGAGGAGGAGGATGAGGACAGTGAGTGCGGGTTCCTTTGGGGGGCTGTGCTCTGTGACTCGAGGTGGGGAGTGCGGGCACTGTCTGGGAGCTGAGGGTGAGCACAGCTGCCCTCCTGTCTTATATTCAGCCTGTCATTTCAGGATGACCTAGAGATTATGCTGAACGCAAAAGTGATGTAGCAGCAAAAAAGAACTGCATGGATTGCTCTGGGGAGCAGGCTAGGCTTCACCACTGACCTGCTCCAAAACTGACCCATCTGTCTGTGCAGGGCTGTCAGCTCCAGCCCCTTCCCTGCCTTTTATGCCACCAATTAGTGGGCAAAACGCAGGATGCAAGGATTCAGAACAGTTGGGAAGGGTCTGTCCCCTGCAGCATTTATTTTCTCTCTTCCTTTTCTAACTCTGTGTGCATTCACGCTCCATGGAGGTCAAACCACAGTCTGTCCCTTCCTGCAGGTGACTCAGATGCATCCTCTGTTGCTGGAGTGTCATCCAGTGGCTCTGTGGCCCTTACGTCCAGGTCAGTAGCTGTAAATAGTGCATTGAACTTGGTATCTTTGTCCAAATCTCTCCATCTTTGCCCTCCTTGGCTGCAGAGGAGAGCTGTAATATATGGGGGAATGGAGTGAAGGTAGCAACAGGCTTCCCAACCAAAATGAGCTGGCTACTCTGCAGACCAAAGCTACATGTCTTGCTCCAGACAGCAGCCTGCAAATTGCTCAGGGTGGATCCACCGCAGCAAAATGGGGGTCTTGATGCCACTGCCAGTTGCTGGAGTAGGTTTACTGGATTTAGTTGTGCTCTTGCAGCATTGTTGCCTTGCAGATGAAGCAGAGTGGAGGTGTCCTGGGCCTGAGATTGCAAAAGCTCCTTGGACTCCTGTGTCTCAGCACTGCACCCTGGAAACAAGTCCTAGAGCCTGAGTTTTTCTTTAGCCTTTGGAAGGAGGTTTCTCTGTGAAGGATTGGTCAGCCTGTGGTCATATGAGCCCTGCCTCCTGGCAGACCTTTGTGGGACCTGCTCTTGCCCATCTAGCAGCGGGGTTTGTCCTTGCATCTGTGCTGCCCCTTGCACCAGGGCTGCCTCGGGCTTTGCTGTCTGCCTGACAGCTTGCTGCTTTCTGTCATGCCATAATTCACCTGGGAGATGAGGAAGGCTTCCTACAGCAACTGTTGAACCTCAGGGCACTGCAGCACTCTGGGTGTGAAAGTTCTGCAGAGGTGACATAAATGGGACCAGCGGCTGTTTATGGCAGGGCATGGCTGGCTTGGCCTCTGGGGGCAGAAGGAGGGAAGCAGCACCTGGGCCAAGCGCCTCCTGCAGCAGGGAGGGAGGGATGTTGGCCCCTTCCCTCTGCAGGCTGTGCACTGGGCTGGCCTTGAAGCCTTTGCAGCTGTCTCCTGCCTTCAGTCTGTTGCAGGCAAAACCAGTTTTGTGCCAGGGAATGTTAATCAATATAATGTATTACTGATTAACAAACATTTAACTACCAATTCTGGTATTGAAAAAAAATATATATACAACAACTCAGGAAAACACCTCTTCTTCCCTCGTCCTGGTCTCCAGCCTCCTCACTGGAGGCTACACTCAGTCCCTTCAGTGAGGTGAGGGGTGGCCTGGGAGATTGAGGCCAATGTGTGGCAGTTCCTTTACTTTTGCTGCTCTTTGTTCCTTAGTGGATTTCTCTGGTGTGGCTGCAGTGGCATACGTTTGAATATGTGTTCGCTAAAACTCGACTTTTAGCATGCTGACAACCTTAACAGATACATTATGGATTCTGTCCTTCCTCGCAGGCGTTGAGGATTGCAGTGGTAAGAAGGTGTATGTACAGTTGGTAAAACTCCAGCCCTGTCTGTGTCTGCAACATACCAAAACCAAGAGGTTTACAACAGCTGAATGATATGTACATTACAAACTCCACCCCTGATTCTTGGCGACTAGGTTATAGGGTTTGTCATGTAACAAACTCCACCCCTTGCCCCAGCAAAACACAAAACCCACAGGAATTACAGCATGTGGCATGTGCCTCATCGCTGCAGACTGGGTCACTGACCTTGGCACCCACTGATTGCACTACATCACACTGCTGAAAATTCCTGATACCAGGATCAAGGCTTTTTCTGCCTTCCCCCTTCCTTCCTGTGCTACTTTTCACTTTTAACCAACCTTCTACCAATTCATCTCTCCTAGGAACTGCATTGAGTGCCTGGCCCAGCCCACTGATGTTCAGGAGAAAGTGCTCAAACCAGCTCTTGTCTGCAGTTTGTTCCCTAATGTGCCTCCAACCATCTACTTCAGTACTCGGGAAGAGAGAGGTGGGCAGGGATCTGTTGCCATGCAGGGTGAGGGTAGCCAGCCTGTTAATAGCAAGCAGCATTGCAGAGCACAGAGGCTTCCCCTCACCCTTCCTGTGGGGAGACTTGGCACCACTGTGAAATCCAGAGGGCTGGAGTGAAACAGTGGCTGCTCCCACAGCCTGGAGCATGAGTCAGGCTGCCACCAAATGTTCCAGCATCCTGGATCTCCCCATGCCATGGAGTCTTCTGCTCCATGCTAGTCCTGTGAAGGAGGCTACATACTCTCTTCTGCAGGCCTCGTGCCTGTGCAGCAAACCATAAGAATTTCCTTAGGTGCAGCTGTACAAAATCCAGGTCTTGTGTTTGTTTTCCTTCGGTCCTGATCTTCTTGCCTTCCTAGTGGAAAAGCTGCCCTGGGAGCAGAGGAAGCTGCTGCGGTGGAAAATGTGCACAGTCACTCCCAACATAGTGAAGCAAACTGTCGGCAGGTCCCACTTCAGAGTCAGCAAGAGTAAGTTGTGGGAGGCTGGCAGCACCCAACATGTCATGTCCTCCCTCATCTCCAGCCCATGGGCCAGTGAGGAGCAGAGCAGGAGCAATACAGACTCAGCACTGCAGGATGAGCAGAGCAGGAGCGATGCAGTGTAGGATGCTGGGTTCCTGTTTCTGCCTGTCTGACCTGCAGTATCTGAGCTCTGTGGGTCCTGGCAGAGCCCTGTCTCCCTCTTGACTTGTCCCTGGCAGGGACCACAAGGACTTACTCCTGGGTTGTCAGGAGCTGAGGCAGCATGAGGTGGCAGAGCTGTGTTCTGGTTTGTTTGAGCTGTGCCCCTAGATGGTGCTGCCACTCTAAGGAGTGGCACCTTCTTACCTCAGCACCGCTGTCCCTTCTCCCCATGGAGAGAGAGCCCTCTCCCTCCCCACTCCCTTCTTCTGAGGAAGAAGTCATCCTCTCTGACCATAGCCTCCAAGTTCTCAGGGTTGGGACCTTGTCACAGAAGAGATGTGTAGGAGGGCTGGGGCAGGGCAAACACTGAACCTTTACAGCTATGGCCCATACTTGGAGTGTGATCTCCCAGCAGTACTTATGGGGCTCCTACACATATCAGGAGGCCTCTGCGCAGACTGTTTTGAGGCTATGATGGGACGTGCAGGGCAGAGCAAGCCCTAGGAAGTCTTGCAGTCCTACATAGCCCTCTGCAGTGCTGTGCTGATTAACCAGCTGCTTCATTCACCTGCTGTAAAGCAGGGAAGTCGGGGTGCTGAGGAGTTAAAGCCATTCCTTTGACCCTGTGTCTGCCCAGATCCCTGCAACAATCATATGTGTGAGGATGTGACCAACCTGGTTAACTGAATCCCACTTGCAGCCCTTGGCTTGGCAGCTTTACTGTAGCCAGCGTAAGTGCTTTGCGGCATTGTTGTGCAGCATCGCTGACACACTTCTAGCCCCAGGTGATGGGGATGCTGGTGAGTTGGGAGGGCATTGTGGGTGGCAGGGTACTTGGTCATGGACTTTCCTGTTTTTTTCTTCAGAAAGCAATGACTGGCTGGGTTGCTGGGGCCACCACATGAAATCCTCCAGCTTCAGAACCATCAGGGAGCACCAGAAGGTAGGAGGTGTTTTGGGCTGACCTCCTTCATGTGCATGGAGAGTGTGTTTGGAGCAGTTTGGGTGCGCTCTGTTCAAGTCCAGGTATTTTCTGTGCTGGCTGTCCCTGCAGTGTCCCTTCCAGAGCACGGCAGCTGGCATTCCTGTGCTGGCCGGTGAACCCAAGAGATAGGTGCAACTGGGTGAGCATCCCTGCTGTGAGGGTGGCTCTTGCACAGACTGAGGCTGTAGCCAAGCCACGTTCACTTGTGAGCTTGTCTAAATTCAGCTGTTGTTGCTTAAAGCAGAACTGAGCAGTAGGGCCAGTGCCCTCCCTGCTGGCACAGCCAGAGGGGATGTGCTTAGCTTGGGTCAGGAGTGGCCCATAGCCTGGGGAACAAGCGAGGGACCAGAGGTTTGGTGTACATCACACTTACATATTTGTTCTGGAGGGCTGTGATGCTCTGAGCTGCTCACTCCAGAGGTAGCATCCAGGTTTGGGAGCTAGCAGGCTCCATCCATGTTCCTGTCCTGCTACAGGGTCTTCCTGTCCCCAGAGCTTGTGTTTGATGGACAGGACTCTGGCATACAGCTTAGGAATATGTGAGAAACCACAGGGGTGGAGGATACTGCCAGAGGAAGCTCAGAGGCTGAGGGTTAGTGTCCTACAGCTGCTCAGACATCAGAAGGGAAGAGGTGGCCAGCTACTGGCTTTGTAGCTAATGTGAGTCACTGTGTGGGTGTTTGTCCCTGCAAAGCTTCAGGAGCAGTTGGTCCTGTCTTGGTGCAATCCTGGGAGGGGTGCAAAGAGCATTACCCTGTGCTATGTTCATAAAGGATGTATCCTCTGGCCAGGGAGTTGCAAGGGATAAGCCCGATGGGGAAGTGGGGAGATTTCACAGTATCTGGATTGCTTTCCAGCTAAACCACTTCCCTGGTTCGTTTCAAATTGGGAGAAAGGACCGTCTGTGGCGTAACCTGTTGAAGATGCAGGCTCGCTGTGGGAAGAAGGAGTTTAACTTCTTTCCCCAGTCCTTCATCCTGCCCCAGGACATCAAATTACTCAAGAAAGCGTGGGAGGAAGGAGCTAGCCGCCAGAAATGGATTGTGAAACCAGTAAGTGCAAAACAGAGCTCAATCCTCTGCCCCGTTGCAGCCACAGGGAGAAGATCTAATCTTTTCTTGTTTGTGTTTTGCAGCCAGCATCAGCAAGAGGCATTGGTATCCAGGTCATCCACAAATGGAGCCAGCTCCCCAGAAGGAGGCCGCTGCTGGTACAGAGGTGGGTAAAGGAAAGCAAGGCTGACACACAGCTTGGGCAGAGCAGAAGCAGCTGGTGTGCATCTGGAGACTTCTCGACTGTCTGGATGTAGTGCTGCTGCTGGAAGTCTGGCTGTGTCAGCTGTGTCTGGGCTTACCAGAATGCTGCTGTCTCTGCGTGGATTTTTAAGGTCTCAGGTACAGACTGGCTCCATAGGCCTTTTGGAGCTTTGGCCTGGCAGGAGATCAGCTTCAGCTCTGCTGTGATGTGCTCCCACTGCTTTTTACTCTGGGGTTTGGCATCTTTGGAGGCAGAAAAACTTTATCCAGTGCCCACAAGCATAGTGAGAAGTCCCAGAGAAGAGGTGGTAATTTTCAAAGATTTGTTCTTATCTGTGTTAGAATGAGTCAGTAAGAGCCTCTGTGTGTATGTATGTTGGACAAAAGGTTTTCTAGAAATGACAGGATTTTCAGAATCTCTTTTCCTTTCTGCAGAAAAAAAGGAACAGCTCATCTTGTTTTTAAGCTGATTTCAGGGAAGGTTATTGCGAGGGCAGGAAGACTGTCTGGTGTTTGGCAGGCAGGGAACTGCTGTGTTGGTTTGTCTGTTCTCTCTGTCCGCTTCCTGTGCAAAGTGATGAGTTTTTCTGTGGAAAATCATGAACTTTTTTGGTGAATAATCAAATTGTTTGGATGAAAATTTCCAACTATTTCTGTTCACTGAACTGAACCATCTGTGGCCCACTGCATGTCTTTGATGTTCCTGAATATTGTGATCAGTCTTGTGGGTGTGAAAAGCTACCTTGCCTTAGAGCTGAGGAGAATCTCTTCAAAATGGGGCTGAGCAGAAAGACGTACTGCTCATGTACTGCAGGGTCTCCCTGTGCACGGGAGAGCTTTTTTTCTCTCTCGCTTTGGCTGTGATGCGTTTGCCTTGGAAATGCTGTGCAAAAGGGCTTCTGCATTGATCTGTGGATTTGCCAAGCCTTCTGAGGTGGGAGCTAGAGGTGCTTCTGCACACAAAAGTCATAACCTTCTCCTGGTGCTTGCTTTCCTCTGCAGATACCTGCACAAGCCCTACCTCATTGGAGGGAAGAAGTTCGACCTGAGGATCTACGTTTATGTCACTTGCTACGATCCCCTCAGGGTCTACCTGTTCAAGGATGGATTGGTTCGCTTTGCTAGCTGCAAGTAGGTTGTGCTGGAGGGCCGTGCTGGGGCTGGCCCAGCGCTGAGGCCTGCGGGGCTGTGGCACTGAGATGTTTCTTCCAGTTCTGACTGTGTTGCCTGGAGCTGCTGCAGTTCTGCCAGTGCTTTTGCTCACCGATGCTCTGGTCTTTCCTTAAGGACATGCTGTGCGGATGGAATTGCATCCCACTGTTCCAAGGCAGCCTGCTCTGTGTCTGATATTTTGTCCCATCAGCTCTGGGCCTGTGGGGACAAAGAGGTTGAGCCAGCAGGGCTGGTGGGTGGCTGAGAATGGTCTGAGATGAGAACAGGGTTTCTGCCTGCCCCAGAGGCCTGGGGGCAACCAGTTCAAGCTCAGACTGCTTGTGTTTCTTGGCTTCTCCAGGTACTCCTCCTCGATGAAGAGCCTCAGTAACAAGTTCATGCACTTGACCAACTACAGTGTGAACAAAAAGAACACAGAATACAAGTCCAACTCAGATGAGACTGCTTGTCAGGGACACAAATGGTAGGTGTTGCTTTTAGGACACAGGGCAGCTCTTTCTATTCAGCTTTTTTTCAGTATTCCTACCCAAAACTTGAAGGTGCTTCCTGTGTCATCCTCTCTACTTTGGGAAACTGGAGGTGCAGAGTGATTTTAGCGTGGGTTAGTGTCAGTGGAATCTGGATAGTCTCCCTGGCTTGTGACTTATCCTGTCCACTGCTGCTTGGGCTGTGGTTGCTGTTCATCCTGCCTGTGTCTGTGCTGTTCTCTGCTTCCAACACTGTTCTCCTCTGTGCTCGCTGATACCCTTGCCCTACTGTGGGGACAATGAGGTGTGGTTAAAGCAGAATCTGATTTTTTTTCTGGTAGAACTTGAATGGGTAATCGTGATGCTTAAATTGGCTAGATGGGAGATTGATGGTTGGATTTGATATCTTAGGGGTCTTCTCCAACCTTAATGATTCTATGATTCTGCCCATGTCACTCTTGACTTCTCTGTGGAGGCAGAGAAGGAGATAGACCTGGTGCACAACTGGTAATTTATGTGCTACTCAATGTGAATAGGAACAGTGGTGGCATTTCTAGGCAGTTGAGAGGAGGGCTGCAGTCTTGCAGTAGTTCCTGTCCCCTGCTCTCCCTGGGTGGACTAAACCAAGGAGCTGGGCACTTGTCTTTGATTCCACAGTGGTATTTAAACTTTTTTAAAAATAGTGCAGGATAGAGTTCTCAATCTGTGGGCCTGGGCAGGGCTACTTCACTTCAAAGGTAGCTGTAGCAAGTGGTTTGTTGTGGTAAGATTATTTTCTTGGACCTGGGCCTGCTCTGCAGTGGTCTGTTCCTCCACTGGGACTTTGAGAAGGATCTGCTGTCCCCAGCAGCTGAAGTCCCCAGAGGATGGGATTTTGTGGGTTTTCAGCACTGCCATGCAAGTCGAAGCTGGCTGCTCCCGCGTTGGAGATGCGAGTGGCTGTAATCCACTCCGTCGCGTACGCAGGAAGCGTGACCTTTGAGTTCCTGGCCATTAGCCACATGGTCTCACTTGAGCAACATCTGAGCATCCTTGGCTTAGTGTCAGGGTAGCTTGCAGTACTCAGTGTGGTGTGTGAAACTCCTGTAAAAGCAGAGATGGTCCCCCTACCATCTTGTTCTCCACATTTTTGAAAATTTTTTCTCCATCCCTGAAACCTCAGTGAAGGGACTCAAACTAAAATATTTAGGGGGGTCTTGCTGGATTCCCGCTGAGCTGCTTTGCAGTACTGTGGGGAGAAGGCCTGCAGGAAGGGGAGGTTTGCTGAGGACACAGAGTAGGACAGAAAAGAAGATCTGTGCCTGATTTACCTTGCTCATGTGCTAATTTGGGACCTATTACTCCACTCCTGGGACAAGTCAAGATTTATGTTCCTACTATCTTGGGCCTACAAGACCAGGGGCCAAGCTGGAGAAGGCAGCAACTAGGAGCTGAGAGGTTTGAAGATGGCGGAAGAATGGCTGTGACAGAGAAGAGCTTTGTCAAGGCTCCCTTCTGCTAGGGGCTGGGCTGCAAGGGGCTACAGAGCTATCTCCTTTGCTTTCTCTCTCCCAGGGCACTCAAAGCTCTCTGGAGTTACCTGACACAGAAGGGAGTTAATAGCGAGGCCATCTGGGAGAAGATTAAGGACATCGTTATCAAAACCATCATTGCGTGAGTCCTGGCACCCCTTGCTCTGTGCCTGGCTGTGCAGTGCACCCTGGCCCCTCTAGCTCTCCAGTCCCCTCTCAGCCTGGTCCTTTTGCTCTTCATCTAAATGCTGCCATACTGTTGGCTTCAGTATTTCTCTGGGGCTCCTTCCTTTCACCGTGCTACTTAAGCTCATGCTGCAGTAGCTGCAATAGGTAAAGAGACCTCACATTTCCTGCGCCGGCTGGCAGTGCTGGGGGGCTGTGGGGTACTCAACACTGCCTGGCTTCCTGCCCACCCCTCTGCTTAGCCAGGGTGACTGTGAAGAAAAGTCCACTGGTGCAGGATGGGTCTCATGTTCAGAGGTGGATCCTGCCCAACAGAGCAGGGCTGCTCGGGATGCAGCACTGGATCCATATGCAGCACAGCAGCAGCACACAGGCCTGCGTTGGTGTCGCAGCCCAGCCTCTCCTGCAGCACGTGGCTGCACAGGCTCTCAGAACCAGCAGTGTGTGCTGTGAGCAGCCAGAGCTCTGCTCTCCGACTGTGGGAAACAAGCCTTTTTTTCCTTGGCTTGCAGATCGGAGCCCTACGTGAACAGCCTGGTGAAGACGTATGTGCGGCGCCCGTATTGTTGCCATGAGCTATTTGGGTTTGATATTATGCTGGATGAACACCTCAAGCCCTGGATCTTAGAGGTCAACATTTCCCCAAGGTAAAGCAGATTCTGAGCCACAGTGGAGCAGGAACAGCCTTTCTTTTACTACAAAGTGAATTTGGCCCATGACATCCCCTGCACCCTGTGCTGGAAGACTGTGCTTTGAAGCCTCCCTCTCCAGACTGCAGGAATCGAAGTCCTCCCTGTCTGTGAAAGCAACATCCATCTGCAGCTCAAAGCTTTGCTGAGCATGCTCCAGCTAGAGCCAGGGAAGATTACGTTAAAAAAGGAAGGCCAAGGAGGGACGTGTCATGTAGGGAATGGGTGATGGCAGAGATTTCTTCGGTGTGTGGGCAGAAGTGAGCAGCAGCTCCACTGACTCAAGCAGTGCTCCTTGCTTGCTGGTGGCAGCCGGCTGCGTGGTGTCGGCTGCACAGGCTGGCTCGGGAGCTGTGCCGTACCTGAGCCTCTCCTGCCTGCCAGAGCAGCTGGGCTGGAGCTGCACACAGAGCCTTGGTCCCATGTGGGGCTCTGGTGATGGATTTGCAGGTTTCTGGCAAATCTGGGAGGAAGTGGGGAAACGAGGCATTTCTAGTGGGGAGCCCCCATTCAAAGAGCTGCCATCAGGATTTTTCTCTGTGTCTTGTGGCTGTCTGTTGAGGTGAGGGACAGTCTTGGTCAGTGTTAACCCAAGGAGTGACCTTGGGGCCGTGGGGCTGAGCACCTCTGTTCTAGCACTCAGACTGCTGTGATGTGTCCTCCCCACAGCCTCCACTCCAACTCCCCGCTGGATGTGAGCATCAAGGGCCAGATGATCCGGGACCTCCTCAACCTCGCCGGCTTTGTTCTGCCCAGCACGGACAGTGTGGCCTCAAGGCCACAGACAAGTGGCTCTACATGCAGGTCAGCCCCTTATCTGCCAGAGAGGCAGACTTTTCTCTTGGGGGATTTCATCTGGGGCCTTGTTGCTGCCCAGCAAACGCTGGTTTCTATGCTGTTGAGAGCCTGTGTTTGCTGGTCCTTCAGCTACGGGTCTGAGGGGTTTGCATTGTTGCCTGGCTATCTGGTTCTTGCGGTCTCCTCAGGGCAGATGGATTTATGCCCTCTCTGAATAGCTGGAAGCAAGACCAGTGTTAATTTGTGCTTGCTCTGCAGTTAGTTGACTTGTGCTTTCTCCTCCTTCCCCCTGCCAGAACTGGCACGGTGCTGACCCGTGCTGCCTCTCTGTTTGCCCAGAGGGCTGGCTGGCTCCGAGTGTTGGGGCTGGGTCTGCTTACCCTCCACCCCAGGGCTGACATGCTGCTGCCTCAAGCAAGAAAAGCACCTGTTCTTTTACAGAGGCTGGAGTGATCTGTTCTTTAGGCAGGACTGCAGGTGTCAGAGGCTGTAGACCTGTGGGTAGGGGTGTGTACAGTCTTAGCTTGCAGCTAACGTGACTGTTTCTTGCATAAAGCTAACTCCTGGGCACATGTCTACCCAGGCCCCTGCTCCTTCTGTGTTGCACCACAGCTTGGGCTTATACTGGTTTCAAACCTGATCGTGACAGGGGGAAACCAGTCCTGTCCCCCGCAGCAGAGCGACCGCTGGCTATATGTCACTGAAGGAGCAGCTTGCTGGGATGAGCACCAGCACGTGGTGATGTATGGGCACGCCAAAAGATGGGACTCTTGCCCTCTGCTTGCCCTGTGCCTTCCATGAAGGGAGAACCTTGGAGCGTGGTCCTGTTCCAGCCGGGGAGCACCCGCCAGCTCATCTGCGGCGCTTTGATCACACGCTCGTTTGCGGCTTGCAGCAGAGGTGCTGAAGGGCAGGTGGCCTCGGAGGGACCCACAGAGGATTAAATGGATCCTTAACATGGTTCAGATAATGCATTACCAGAGTTCCTGAATCCAGGGGCAAGCTTGCTTAAGCATTTCTCCTGCCCTGGGAAAAGGATACGAAGGGGTTTTTGCATAGGGGCGTAATTCCAGTAGATCTCTAGGTTCCCCAAGAACCATGTGGCACAGCCTCGAGGCTCTGCTCTCCCTGTTTGGATCTTCACATAACTATTTTTGCAGCAGCAGAACAAATTAGCTGTCTTGATATAAGGCTTAAAAGGTGTTGGACAAGTATCTCCCAGACTCTGGCATCCACAAATGGCAGTTGGGTGCCTAGAATAGTTTAGATGGTTGCTGGTCAGATGGTACAAAAGGCCAGGATTTCCCCTAGCATGTGGTGCTGGTGCTGAATTTGAGTCTTGAGAGTTCTTGGGCGTTGCAGGAGGGTGTATTTGATCTAAGAGTTCTCTCCTTCCTTGCATAGTACCAGTAGTGAGTACTCATTCCCCCAGCCCTGTGGTTACAGTTAGATCCCATCAGGCATCAAGTGCTGTGAATCAGGTCACAGTATGACACTGGCTCTCTTGCACCCTGTGGGTGTGAGATGTTCACCTTTTGGATGAAGGAATGCTGAAACGCCTTAGCGAGGAGCTGGCAAAACCCTCCCAGTTCCCTTGTCTGTATCCTTCCTGAGTCCTGTGCTGATGCACAAAGCTGTGGGTACATCACTCATCTCAGAACTAGTGAAATCCTTGAAGAAAGCATTCTCTCCCCCACAGCACCTTCCTGAGGGTGTCACTGCTCTCTTAGAAGTTTGTGGGAGCAGTTTTGCCATGACAGAACTTTGCCTTCTCCACTTAAGTGCTCTACTGCCTCTTCTTGTGTCCTCAGTCTGAGCAGTGCTTTGAAGGAGAAGCCCAAGCCAGCATCTGAGCATTTCATAGCAGAAAAGATGAAGGCAGCCTATTACTTGACACAGAAGATACCTGACCAGGTATGACACAAGTTCCTCTGATATTTGCACCATCCTGCCAAGCCACTGTCCCAGTCAGTCCCACATGTCTTTTAGACATGTGTGGGGACAGCCAGATGATGGGGAGCACTTGGGCTCCAGTGGGTTGCAAGACAGCAAGTCAGAAATAAATTTGAGTTGCCTAGGCCACTGCTGTGCTGTCTCATCTTTACATGAAAACAGGCTTGTGCTGAGTGGCACGTTGCCCACCAGGCCCCAGCCAGGGGCTGAGCTCTGCCTGTTTCTCCTGTCTCAATGCAGCTCTCATAGCCTTTGTCTGCTGCCCCTGTACAGGTTAGCAGGGACTCTTGCCTTGTCTGCCACCTGGCTGTGTCTAGAAGAGAGGTGGAGCTGCAGAATTGGAGATCTCAGCTCTGTGCAGTGTTGATGTCACCACTGAGCCTAGATTTCTTCATTTTCCACATGTTCAGTGTCCCAAAGATAGATCTCAGACATGTGGAGACCTCTCCCTGAGAGGGCTGGAGGAGCAGGGAGGTGGGAACGGGAACCAACGAAATGAAGTTCACTTCTTCCTGACCCTGGGGTGCTCTTGTCTGCAGGATTTTTATTCCTCTGTCTTGGACACCCTGACCCCAGCCGATGTCCGCGTCCTGGTGGAGACGGAGGACGAGCACTCGCGGCGCGGGCAGTTCGAGCGGGTGTTCCCCACCCCCCTCTCCATGCGGTACCTGCGCTTCTTCGAGCAGCCCCGTTACTTTAACATCCTCCTGACCCAGTGGGAGCTCAAGTACCACTTGAATAAACAGAAAGGTAACTGCCACCCAAGAGCCTGGCATGGTCACCTGACCCAAGCAGGCTGCCGGCTGGTGGTCGTGGGAGACTTCTGAGCTACGTGTGCTGAGGGGGAGCTGCCTGCCCGCACACTAGCCATAGGAAATATGTTACCCTCACAGGCTGCTTCAGATATTACAAAAAGCTTTTTCTGAGTTGATCAGAGGTGCTGACTGTTCTGGTAAATGCAGCGCTGGCACTTCTAGGTGCCCTGGGGCTGAAGCAGGCTGGGATTCTGCCTTCAACCTGTAGCTCTGGCCGTTTATTGCATTCCTCTGCCCTTTTCGAGGGAGAAGCAGCTGGTGTTGGTGGGCTTTGCTCCTTACAGGTGATCTGTGAAGTGAAGGAAAAATTTGGCCTGTTCCCTGGTCTCCTGCTGCCTTCTAATTGATGAAAAACTCTCAGCATGCACACAGAGGAATTTTTTCCTCAACTCTAGAAATCTAGCTATCATTGTCACCTTTCCAGGACACAACTCTGTATTTTAATAAAAAGCATCCTTTAATGGGGCATAGCTGGGCCGGGCTAATTCCTTCTTACCCATAGCTGTCTCTATGAGGGCATTTAGGAGACAGAACCTGTGAGGTCTAGTGTGAAGGCTTAGAGAACATACAAAGAAGGAGACTGTGGCTTAGGCCTCTCCATCCAGCATCTGATGTGGGTGGAGAGGCTTCTGCAGGATCCAGCCCTTCACTGAGGTGACCATATGTGTGCTCCTAGCCTGGTTGTCACGTAGAGAAAACAAAGCAAAAAAAGGCTTTTGTCACTTTTCACTGATGTTAAAGCAAATACAAAAGGGGTTGGTAACAGCCTTTCACTGAGAGATGGTAACCTCATAGCCCTCTCCAGCTGCACTGTCAGCGTGTGTCATCCTTTGCCTCTCTAATACCTTTGCTGGATGCTCTTCTGTCAGCTGGAAGAAAGGTCCTGTCAACGTCTGCACTGAAGTGCTGCCCTGAACTTGCCACTCAGGCTGGGGTCCTGGTTCAGCTCTCCAGCGTCCCTGAAGCAGCCCAGTGAGCAGATTTGCTCTACCCCCTTGTTGCTCTTCAGCTCTGAGCAAAACCCAACATCCCCTGGCCCCCTCCCTTTCACGCATGTTCCACGCAGGCCTCCTCTCTCCCCAGCCAGCAAGGTCTGGTGCACAGAGCTGGGCCAGGGCGCTGAGCTGCCCTGCTTCTCTTAGCCCCCAGTGCATGGGGATTTTTTAACAAGGTCTTGGGGCTTGCTGAAAGGTCACTGAGGAGCTGAGTTTGGACAGCAAGGATTCCTCCTATAGCCAGAGCTGGTATCGTATAGCAAGCCACAGTAACCTCAGCTGAACAGCATCAAGTTCTTGGCCATTGCTCTACTGGTTCTTAAATCTCGAGACATCTTAGCTTTTGCTATGTCTCTAAGGCTCTTAAAAAAGAAAACTGGAAGGGAGCAGTCCTGGATTTCTCAAGATTTCCGGATTAGCAGAGGGCAGGGAGCTTGGCTGTGGAGGGGACAGCTAGCACGAGGCCTTGAAGGAAGTGGAGCCTCTTCGGTCCAATTGGACACATGGCTCTGGTTCAAGGTGACCTCCCTGTGCTCTGGAGCAGCATGTTATGTGGCTGGAGGAACGGTCCCTTCCAGTCACACCATTGGTAAGCCCAGTCCGTTCCAGCATCACCCTCTGCCAGGGCTGGAGACCAGGTCTCGGCCCACATTGTGCTCCAGAGGGACCTGTGCCAGGAGGGTGCGATGCCCTGGGGCGCCTCAGCCGATGGGAGCCATGCAGGGAGGAGGTTGCCCGAGCTGCCTTCCTGTGGGAAAGGGGCCGGCGGCAGCAAAGCTGCTCTACATTTGCACTGTAGGAACTTTCACGGGCGCAGCCCAAATCAGGTGCTGTCATTGGCAGGCGCCGGGCCCGGGGGGACAGCCAGATCGGTCTGATTCCGCAAATCCGGTGCTGCCCCAGTTTCCCTGCTGGGCTGGGCGGCCCCCGTGCCGCCG